GGAGAAATTCTGAGCTTGGTCCGGAGCTGACCAGATTTGGTCAGCCCCGTACCAACTCAGTCTTTTTCTCCTGCTCCGAGCTAACCTGGAATCGGAGCGCAGACCAACTGGGAACTCAGTCCGTTTCCTTGGTCAGTCCGCCGGTCTTCATCTCGGACCTGTGTTGTTCTCGCCTGGTCCGCCGGACCAACTTTTGGTCCGGGGCTGACCAGCGAGAACTTTGGTCCTCCTGACCAAACACGCGGTCCGGAATCTGATCTGTCTGCTGGTCCGGCTGACCAACTCTTGGTCCGCTGACCACAGACAGATCAGATTCGGAACAGATTTTTCGGGCTTCGAAAATCAGGGTTTTGACCCGGTTTCGACGCACCGTTAACCCGTCCCAGACTCCATACCATCCATGCATCATTCAACAATCACAAATATCATTAAACATGCATAGATTCAATGATTACATGAAATTTATCGATTAAATCATGCAATCATACAACAAGCACGGCGATATACAGAGAACCAGGCTCTGATACCACTGTTGGGGATATCTACGGGTTCCTAGCATGCGATCATATCGATCTAGGGTTTGGTTTACTAGGTTTCATGCAGCGGAAGAAAGATCTAAACCTAGTCAAACGTCACACGCAACCAAACTCGTAAAACCCGAAAGATCGTGTATATCACCGAGGGAATCGTTACTTACCTCGTTCTCGATGAGACTTGAAGTTTATTTCAATCCGGAGCCTGTTCTAAATCACCTAGGACTGAAGTTACAGTCTCTCTACATGTATCCACACCGATGGGAACAATTCCAAACGATTTGGAACGAATCTGTTAGGATTAGTGAAGAAAAAGGTAACTCAAGAGACGAGATCCAATTCCGGGATAATAGAAATCGAAGAGAACAGGTTCTCTAGGGTTCTAGGATGTTTCTCTGAGTTTTAGGTCGGCCATAATTAAGTTTGGACGAAATCCCAAACTTAAATAAGCTTAGAAAACCCTAAAATCGAATTTTGGAAAGTTTCCTAGATCCCGGTCCGCCGGACCAGGAGCTTGGTCCGGCGGACCAAATTTAGTCCGAGGCCCACGGACCGGCTGACCTGAAGGCTTGGTCCGGCGGACCACGTGTGGTCAGCTCCAGACCAAGGCTTAGAAAACCCTAAAATCGAATTTTGGAAAGTTTCCTAGATCCCGGTCCGCCGGACCAGGAGCTTGGTCCGGCGGACCAAGATTTGTCCGGCGGACCAAGATTTGTCCGAGGCTCACGGACCGCCTGACCTGGAGGCTTGGTCCGGCGGACCACGCGTGGTCAGCTCTGGACCAAGACCCTTCTTGGTCAGCTCAGTCCGACTCAAATTTTCTCGGTCCGCCTGTCCCAGAGTCTGGTCCGGGGCTGACCAACTCTTGGTCAGCCGGACCAGACCTGGACAGATGACCGCGGACCGAGCTTCCGGACCTCCTGGACTGACCAAACTTGGTC